AACAACGTAATTTTTGTCAGAATGAGACGGAAGAAGTAACAGAGGAGGGAGCAGAAGGGGAGGCAGAGGAAGAGGAGGCTGACAAGGGGGAGGAAGAGGAGCCCGGAGAAGAAGAAGAAGAGGAAGAAGATTCTTAGGCCTCCTCGTGCTTTGTGTGCCTGACTTTCCAGGTAGCCGCGTGGTTCTGGGGGTGAGGACTTGTGTGTCACAGTCTCCTCTGGACCACATTCCACCTGGGGATAGGAGTGGAGTCCAGCTCAGCCTCTTGGTCTGGCTCCCCGAGGCCCTGGGCTGCGCCTTCTGGGGCCGCAAGGCTGGGGAAGCCCGTTTCTAGGGCGCAGTGGTTCATATGATTCCTTTAAAAAAGCCTAACTTTGAGATGAGTAGGGTTTGTTTTGCACTTGTCCCCGCCTCTTCCTCTTTGTTTAAGTGAAAGCACAGGAAAATGTCCTGTTGTCCGCGTCCGATCACGTGGATTCCTTTACTGACCAGAACACTTGCATATCTACAGGGGAGTGACAGCTGATGTTCATAATGGTGGCAATAAATTATAACCTAAAACCCCGCGAAGCTGCCTGTTCATGAAAAAAATACTGCTGCTAGAGATTCAGTGATAAGGGCTTGATACTACATTTTCATTTATTCAGTATTCGCCAGAGCACTCAGGTAGGAACACTTTGGAACATGGTGCAGTCACTGTAGGTATCTTTGGCAAGCCTGCTTACCACCTTGTAATTTTAAACTCCTACCGACCGTGAAAAAGAATGACGGCGTTCTCAACAGTCTGGTGAGTGTCACATAAACATATCAATAACGTAATGATAGAGGAGACTGAGGACACAGGGGAAGTGCTCAAATATCATGGACCAAGCAGATAAGACGCTACACAACAAAACACCTAAAGATCACTACGTGCTGTAAAAACATCTGGTTCTAGCCGACACTTAGCCAATAAAACGTTACGTTATTATTAACATTATTTGACCTTACAACCAGATCTGAGGGCAGCCATTTATTTGTTCTCTAGGGCAGTGAAGCTGACAGTTCTTTTTAAAATTTAAAATAAAATACAACTTTTTTTAGTCTCCTTATTGTCCATATTCTGCCTCCACTGAAACACGTAAGACAGATTTTGGGGCAGGAAGGAGAGCATGAGGGAGTAAACACCGGGCACACAGTGGGTCTTCAGTTAAGGTCTGTGGTCAAACTCAGAGCCTTTCTAGGGAAGGATGGACAAAAAGACTCAGCTGGAGAAGGAAAAAGAAACCTTCGAGTTTCTTAAATATCAGCTAACAAATAGCGCTGCTCTGAGTACCAAGGAGCGATCTGAATAGTGTGAACCTCTCCTCTTCATCTCCTTAGGCTACGTACATAAGCATTAATGTAAAAAATGGTGAATGTGTTTTTAGGAAACCTTGGAGCTGGTGAGAGTAGCCATCTCAATTTGTTCTTGGACCACTGAGGATTCATCACTCCTTTGTTCAGATCGCAAAGCCAGGCTAGCCCATCACTTGATCTTCTTCCACTGGTTTCTCTCCTGTTCTGGACACAGAGACCTTTACTTTAGGGCCAAGTGATTGTCACTTTGGAAGTGATCCCATCTGTTTATTTTTAGTTTTCTTCTGTGGTTACCAGGGAGAAGTCTGTTTTCAGTCTTATTAGCCTCCCTAATAAGGGACCCAGTTTTGACAAAAGAAAAAAGACACATTTATCTTTAGAAATTCTGTCTGAAGAGAGATGAGAAAGGAAAATATATTGATATTCATCATTATTCCCCAAAAGAAAAGCCCAAACAGCAAATACTGTTTAAATACATTTTTAAAAATATGTTTTTCTTCTTCTTCTTCTTACTAATTATAAATTTACTTTTTTGGGGGGTGGCGTGAGGTAATTAGGTTTATTTGTTTATTTATTTTTAAATGGAGGGACTGGGGACTGAACCCAGGACCTTGTGCATGCTGAGCACTCTCTCTACCACTGAGCTATACCCTCCCCCATAAACCCATTTCTATTCACTCTGCTTGTAACGTTCGTTTAAAATCAGGCAGTTTTAATGTGGTAATTAGAAAAAAAGAACTGAATGTGAAATGGCACATTGAGAGAGAATCCTTCACGTGGCCAGGCTGAATTTTTTTTTTTGAAAGGCAAGTACAGTTATGACCAGCACATTTTGCCTGTTTCTCTGATGGTTTCTGGTTTGGAATTTAGTCCCTAATAGTCTGTTGGGAAGTCGACATGTCTGACAGTGAAGGCGTGACTCCGGTACCTCCCTAAGTCCCACCTGACCCTGTGGAGAGATTCAATATCCTCCTTGGAAATGCAACCTGGTGGTGCAGTCATGCAGTCAATGGGGCAAGACACTCCTCTTCCAAAGGCACACCCGCCCCAGAGCTCACAGATATACCAGGCATTTTATTTGAAAAGATGGTTTTCGGGAGAACGTGGCAATGAATGGAACTAGGAAAGATTTCTTGTGTCCTGTGTCTTTAATTGATGCTAAATGAACGTCCCAGGAGAAACAGTGTATAATATGAGATGAGTTCCGTCTCCTGTAAAGCTGCTGCTTAACACTGTCCTCTAGTCCAGCCGCGGACCGTTTAAATCTCCTCCTCCAGGGCTAAGCTATATACCCAGCCTCTCCATTTTCCATGGAAACGCAGTGGGGAAACTGTGTTTGGAGATGTCTGCTTCCTTTTGGTGTTTGATGATGTGTTGGTACAGAGAAAAGATAGAAACCTGGTCTGGTTTTCTCCGAGAAAAGCTGAGTTTCCTTTCTTTATGCCTGATGAGTAGTGGTTTCTAGAACAAGAGGCAGTGCTTCCCTTGGTTGCAAGTTAAACAATTAAGTTTGTGGTAAACTTTCTGTCGGTCTTGCACCATCTTCTCCCTAATCTTTCCCCTTTCTTTTAGGAAATCCAAGCCACGAAGCACCATTTCAACTGTCTCCCCAGAAACCGAACTCCACAAAATACTTTGGCTGGAAGCTACCCCCACTCCCTCAGCCCACCCGGGGTTCGCTGAGAAATTGTATGATCTGACACGGTTAGATGTACACCCATGTGTCTACTTAATCATATCAGCATGGAATTAGATGTGCAGATGTCACACGCATCCCTTCATGGGCCTGACATGTGGCCTTTGATTAATTTCTTTTCTTTTTTTTTGCTCTGCATGAATAGACCTTGCTAATACCCTCTAAAAATGATCTCAAAATAGAGAACTTTGTAAAATGACCGAAGTGTTTCCTTGTATGTATCTATGCTTCCTTTCTCAGAATTAGCTTTCCAGAGATCAATCATACAAATAAAAATTAATAGCAAATATCTTGTCTCGAGGAGCATATTTCTTTTTTTCTTTTTTTCTTTTTTTGGGTAAATGGTTTTACCTATTATCTTTTTTAAAATTAATTTATTTTTTATTGCAGTACAATCAGTTACAGTGTGTCAGTTTCTGGCACACAGCACAACATCAAGGAGCACGTTTCTTCATTTATAGTCTCTGTGTAGCCGGAACTCTGTCTGTTGCCAAGTTTGAATTCTCGGTAGAGCTTTTCTGTCTCCACTGGGATGGATGTTTTTTGTGGTGCTGATTCTTTGGTCCAAATGACACTCATTGTCTTATGATGTCATGTTTTGTGTTAGTCACTCTGCTGTGCGTGTTATCTTCGAAGCCTTGTTCACGGGTAGCCATCACTGTCCACCGTGTGTAGGGATAATGGTGTGGACGAATAAATTTGCAACCCGGCATCCTTTGCACGCTTCTCTGCCGACAGGAGTGGCTGCTTCTGCATCTCTTGCCCTTGACTGATTTGCAGCCATGGCTGTGATGTGCAAAGCTTGTGGCTATAATTTTGCCTCCCGGTGCAGAGTGTCTGTTCACCAACAGCTGGTCCAGCCCCGTGACTTGTTCACCAGGTAGATTTGAAGCATTTCTCTGCTCACCTTGCCCCACCTCAGTGTATGAGAGCTATTTTGTCTTTCTTGTAAGATTTTGCTGACACCTCTCCCCTCTCTGCGTAAGTGCTACCTGGTATATTTCTCCTGCTGCAAACATCGCATTTGTACTGTCAGAGGGGCCCTTCTCCTGTCTGTTTTCCTATTTCAGGACAATTATGGCCGTCAACTTGGAGTGGCCATAAACTTTTCCTCCTCCTGAATCTGCCTATTGATTAAAAATTTTTTTTGGTTTTATTGAAATGTAACTGACACAGAACATTGTATTATTGTATTAGTTTTAGGAGTACAGTGTGATGACTTGATGGATGTAAACTGCCTATTGATTTTGCAGCTAAGCATGTTTGTGGCGGTTGGAAATGCCATCCATGGTAGCAGAAGTCGTGTGGATCACGGGAACTCTGGAACAAACAGCTCTTTTCCTGTTACCCTGGTAACAAAAAGAGGCATTTAAAAGAGAATTAAGATTATTTTGTTCCAAATCATTGAAGTAGACAACTTTGGAAACAATTCTCCCTTTGTTAAAAATAGGGTGAGAGACTGCAGTGAAATGGAAATTCATATAGCTGAAAATTAATGTCTCTTTTGTAGTTCACTGAGTTAAATTATGTCCTGTCTGAAAAACGTGCACGGTTTTATAGAAACTCCACACTCAGGTAGGCCCTAAGTGGTTGCTGTTGGGATGGAGACAGTTTATTTAGTGAGGTGCCAATTTTCCTCCTATTTCTCCTGTTTTTAAATGAAAATAAGTATTTGTGCTAATAAGCAAAAATAACAAACCAGGTCACTTATTTAAATTGAACTTTTCCCTATGTTGCCTTTCTATAGTCAGTAATGTTCTAGGAGAGCATTTTTATTTACCCACATTTTATTTTCTTGAAGTTATTATTAAAATGCAAAAATCGCTTATATCAATAATACTATATGACTAGTATCACTTCTCTTCGAGATTTGGTCTCACCTGTCACGCCAACCACCAGTGACTAGTGGGTCCAGTGGCCCAGTGACAAATATGGACTGTGTGATGTCGAAAGATAGTTTAGGGTGGGGGGTGTAGCTCAGTGGTAGAGCGCATGCCTGGTGTACACGAGGTCCTGGGTTCGATCCCCAGTGCTTCCATCAAGGGGGGAAAAAGTGAAAACCACACAGTGAAAAAGAAGGCAAGTGAGGAAAAGAGACATTTCTGACAATACTATTTGAGACCTCGCCTCTTCACGAAATGAACCATTACATTTCCTTAAAAAAAAAAAGAGAGTTAAAAAAAGCTGCATGCTTTATCAATACAGGAAGCTTCTAAAAACTAAACAGCATTATAAATATGTACAAAAGAATAACTCAAAAGAAAAACCCAAGTGAAAATAAACAAAATCCTTCTGCAAAAAAGAAAAGGCCAGCGACATGGAGTAATTATGTGATGACCTGAAGCCAATAGAAGGCTAGAGAGTTGATTTATTAGTCTACAGATGGAACATTCAAAGTAACAGTTTCTTTTTTAATTTGGAAAGCAAGTACACAAAAAACGGAGCACATTTTTCTAATGACCGAACAGTAAATGCTTTCTTCTCCTCATCTGTTCTCCACTCCCCCCACCTCCCCCCAGGGGTTTCCTTGTATTTTTTTTGGATTGAAATCTTCCTTTGGTTCAAGGATCTGAGATATGAGTTAAGGGGGGGGGTTGTGGTTGTCACTGAGTTTTCTAGATCAAATGTGAAAGATGTAGAAAGGGAATGGAATGAATTGCCTACAAAATTCCTTGAAGAATGTTTTAAAATATTTTCTTTAAAAAACAGTGTATAAGTGTCCAAGCTGTGCACGGCTGGTGAATGCAAGGTGACCCTAGTGAGGTGTAATAATAAAGAAGGACCACTAGGTGGTGATGAAAGAGAAGCTTCTTGATACAGTGTTGCTGTCCTGGGAGCTCCCGTGGTACCTACAGGTGAGGGTACTGTTGGGATCAGAAAGCGGGGGTTAGGTATTTGTCCACTGGACAGAGAAAAACAAACAAACACCCTCCACGTGAATTGGTCAGTCAATTAGTGTATCATTTAAAATGCTTTCATCCAAGATAATTAATTTTGGGCAAAATATTGTGCATTGTTAAAAGCTATTAAAACCCATCCGACTCTTTGAATTTCACATCCGTAGGTCAGTTGTCTTCCAGAACTAGAGATCTGGAGGTTGTTTAAAGATGCAGTAATGCTTCCAGGGGTGGAATATTCAAACCGGACAGGGCTCAGCCAGGAGGGTGGGAGTAGCTTGGATGGAGGGGGTGTGGGGGGTGGGGAAGCACGTGGGGGGAACTCATTCAAGTCCAACAGATGCATCTTGTCAGCTCAGGAGTGGAATGCCTCCTCTCACTGACTCACATGAAGCAAACTTACAGTTTAGAATTAAAATTAGGCTGCTGATTATTGTGTTTCACAGTATTTTTATCCACTAGCATTTATTGGGTGCCCATTGTGAGTCAGGCTCTGTATTAAGGGCTCTACGTGATCCCTACAGTAACCCGGTGAGGTAGACATGGTGCCCATTTTAAGGATAAAGAAACTGAGGCAAGAGGGCGTTCAGTACTCGTGTGAGGTCACAAAACTTGGAAATGGCCATGTGGGGACTGAGATCTATGTATGTCCCACTGCAAGGCCAGGACCAGCCTCCCCAGCAAAGCCTTTCCGCTCTGTCCTTGACCACAGCCATGCCCCTGGGACAGTGCCTGGCCGGGCGGAGGGCAGTGTGGGCCTTGTCCTAAGAGCGCCTTCTTCCCTGGAGTCCTCTGGTCCACATAGTCTGTCTTTAGACTCCACGTCATGGTCAAGGTATTCAGGCCCTGGAGGAAGGTGACCCGCCCTTCTCAGCTGTGATCTGTTGTGGGCTGATTTCTTAGTTAATCATCAGAGGGCAATTCCATTCCCTTCTTGCTGTGGCTACCGATGCCAGCCCCAGTTCTAGAGGGATCTGAACCACTGTCAGCCCACAGCACTCTAGAAATTGGTTGGTGGCTTCAGATACTAAGCCTTAAGTTATAAAGAAAAAAACCCTAAAAATTGTCGTCTGCCTTTTCCAGTCTGGTTGTCCTGAGGTGCACCCCACCCACTGATGCTGAAGGATGCACCCAGAATCCTCTGGGGCTTACCTGTCAACTGCTGTCCAGTGATGCACCAGAAGCAGCCAGCCCCTCACGGTATTTGTAGCTGAGAGGATGGTTCCTTCTGGCCCCTTGTTTGGGATGACTTAATAAGGTGAATATGCCTTAATCCCAGGACATGAATTTTAGTTTGCCTGTTTTGTAGCAGGTCACCTTTCTCTGTGGTTCATTATAAAAAACATTTATTTTCTTTGTCTAACCCCTGGAAAGAAACAAAAGTTATCTAAGGAGGAAAATAAAGCTTATATTAAAAAGCTTCACACTCACAGACTAATTTCTCCTCAGATTCTGCAAAAATAAAGCAGAGAAATGCAACCTGGTTTTATTTTTCTCTGAGGACTTCTCCTTAGGTAGTATCTACAGACAGCTTTCTCCAGGCTTTGACTAGATTCATAGAAATTTAAACCTTTAAATACTGTTAGGTCAAACCGACTAGAAATGCACCTTGATGGCGTTTCAGAGTAGTTACACAAAGATTTCTGTTGTTGATGAAAAACTAATCAGTCAATCTGAGAAGGAAATGGAAATTTTTATTTGAGCCAAATTTGAGGATTATAACCTGGGAAGAGAATCTCAGAAAACTCTGAAAACTGGCCCACCAGTTAGAAATCAAGGTTTATAAGTTTTTCGAGACACAGGGCTGTACATCAAATGATGAATTATTGACAGTTTACACAATCCAGATCTAAGCGTCATCCTAATCCAGATCTAAGAGTCATCCTGTTGGGTGACTTACAAGATCAAGAAGGGATGTTATCTTCCAAGGAGCTGTCTTGCTGATGTTAGGAGAATGTTGCTCTTTATGGTTGAGCAGGTGTTCCTGCCAGTGGGGGAGGTTTGGTCGATGCATGACACAGGTACACAATGCACAGTTGGGGGAGAGAAGGTCAAAGGGCTGTGAAGACATTTTTTGTGTTTAAATTTTTTCTTGTCTTGCCATAAAATAGGAATTTTATTTCACACTGTGCTATCTGGAGATGCTCTGTGCAATACTGAGGTAGGAGAATGGGAGTTCTGCGTGTCTCTGGAAGACACCTGTCGATGGTTCCCCACTTGGCTTGAATTTTTATTACCACGATGGCATCTTTGACCCACTGTGAAGATTCTGGGTGGGGTTCAGACAACAAAGTATTTTTCGAAGCTCCTCAGATGATTAAGATGTGCACCTGGGTTTAAAAAATCCTGGCCAGAAGAAATTTAGACCCTGAGAACACCCAGTTCTTTCTCCCTTACCTGTAGGAGCCAATCAAATGGATCATTCCCGGTGGACTTTTACAGAGGAGCCAGTGGTTTTCTAATGCATATTCTTTAAGCCATGGAACTCTTTGGTCAGAAGGATCTGCAGTGTGAAAATCAGACGAGGGAGAGCTGCTCTGAGTATAGTTGTGGAGACCTTGACCCCTATGGGGACTCAATTCAGGGTACAGTTTGAAAACCCTTTGTTTGGCAGTAGATTTTTTTCTTTTTCAATCAACTTCACTGAGGATTAATTTATATAGTAATAGGCACCTGTACTGTTTTTGCAACACTAGCTGTTGGAGGACATGGCTGGCCGGTGCTGAGGGCGGTAAAAGAATTTACCAAAGACAAAGAAAAGTTTGAGAAACAAAGAAGAAGTTTCATAGACACGCTGCTAAAGGCAACAGTGGGCCACACAGATGAGAGGTGTCTGTGTGAGCACCGAGGGTGGATAGGGGAACAGACTTTCACTGGCTATAAGTGAGGTAAGAGAGTTAGTGTCTGTGAAGAGACAGTGGGATTTATGACTCCGATAAGGAGGAAACACGGGCTGAGACAAGGCAGCTTGAGCCATTGTGAGGCCAGCCGTTTCCCAGGGCTGTTAATTCTGCCAGGGCAAACACACAGCAGGAAAGGGTGTACTTTGTTTTCTGAGGCATTGTAGGTGGACATCTGAGAGCCCAGGAGTGGGGGAGGCAGGGCCTTGGCAGACAGCAGCTGGCACTGCACTAGCCGGTTCTCTAATTTCCTGACACTAGTGGGATGTCTTACAATTCAATTCTGACACTAACTGTAGGAGTTAGCTCAGATCCTCCAGGCTAAGGGCTCAGTCCCATAAGACTGCCCCAACTTCAGATGCCAGCTGAAAATGGGGGCCCCAAGCTTTCTGCATTTCTGTCCGGTGGACTACAAATCAAGACATTCCGCCCCCTGCCCTGCCCCGCCCCAGGCTTGACAACTTGCTAAAATGACTCACAGAACTCAGTGAAGCACAATCCATATAATTCACTATGTAAGGTACAAATGACCAGCCATACAGGGAAGGGTCCTGAGCATGCAGCAGAGCAGGACCCCGTGGGGTCCTCCC